GATTTCTTTGTATGTATGGATCACTTGGGTTGTTACCAACATCTGGTGAAAATTTCATGTCATTAGCRCCTCTAGTAATATATTTACTGAGAAAAATGGTGACGTGTTCAATACTTATTTTACCTGCTGTATATATAAAATTGATTTAGTACTCATAGCTTTTGGCACATTTGTTGTTAAAATATAAATATTAGGCAAGACCCTTCTTTTTTTTCTTACTATTTATTGAGTAAAAGCTTTACTTTCAGGCCGTTGCAGTGACATGTTTAATACGTGTGTTTTTCAGATGCCCTGACACCAGCATCCAGTCCATCCTCAGTTGTTTATGGGGTCGCAGTAGGCCAGGAGGAGCTCTTATCTTCGTCCTCTTCGCTCAGCCTGGAGTGTCGGGTGTGTGCTGACCGCGCCTCCGGATACCACTACGGAGTTCACGCCTGTGAGGGCTGCAAGGTGAGACAAAGCGTCTCTGGTTTTATGTTAAATCATTACAAGCATTAGACCTTTCATTTGTTTTGTCTGCTCATTCACGCTGCGGTTTTGTTGCTCTGCGTTGTACTTTTGTTTTTTCCCCAAAGTAACCCACAGTTAATCAGACAGTAGCTAAGAACCCCAACCAGCCCTGAACTGCCTGTCATAATCCCAAACTACCTTTGTTGAGCTCAAAGTGTCCTGTGACTCATGCTGTGATAAATTCCTAAAATCGTGTTCAGTTTTCACACTCTTTCAGTTAATTGTTCACTAGTCACGTTGAAGAACAACTCAAGATTGTTTTGGAAGAAGTATCAAAGGACAAAGCTGTACTGCCTTGCACATGTCTTTGTCAGCTTTTGTTGCTGTCTCAGCATTATTTATTCTTTTGTACATATTTTATCAGTGTCCTGAAGCAGGAGGAGTTTTTACACCTTTACAATGTTAATCAGTAGAGCTCTGTTAAATGTATCCACTTAGCTGAAGAATGGGAATTTCAAGAAGTGATGCACAATCTCAGTTCTGCCTCAGGTGACTGAGCAGCCATTCATTTGACTTCTATGGTTTAGAGTTTAGAGAGCAGTCGTGTCACAAGACTGCACTGTGGTGAAACAATTACTTCCCAAATGTCAGAGTTAACTTATTGCATCATTGATGGAAGACAATCATGTGGTTCTTTCACTAAACAGGTGTGCATCAAGGCCACAAAAACCAGTCCGTCTTTGTGCTCCCTCCGGTCATTCATAAACCACAGATGGAGATGCCTACGTCTCACACAAACGTGAGCTTTTAGAATTGAAACGTTTTAGAGAACCACTGTGGTGTGGAGCTGAACTCGACAAATCAAAGCTGGTTTATACTTGGAGTTGCACGTCTTGCTCCCCCTGCTGAGTGACAAAAAAATTGCGTAGATTTCGTCTGCGCTCCCGCTGCTGTCTCCGGTGACGGCCGTTGTGTACACTGCCCCCAGTCAGAACTCTGCGATGCGGACCCTGCAGCTCAGAGCGTGTGATTGGTCAGAACTGTGTGGGTGTGTTGCTGTGAGCTATGGAGCAGCTCTTTGTCTGTGTGTTTGTTTTCAGTGAGAAGTTCTCTGAAGCCGTTTGTTAAATTAGCAGATGAACAGCTTTGACGAGCAGCTGGTTCGTGTGAGCAGCTTTTGATGTTCACGTCTTTTTTCCATCATCACTGTTACAAAAATAATAGTTTTTCCTCCTCAGACTCTTCACCCAACACAGCACTAATGTTTGAGTGAGAAAAACAAACAAACAAGCAAACAACATCCTCCAAAATATTTTTAAGTGAGGTTTATTTCTAACAATAGGCCTCATGCAAGAACCCGTTCGTACGCACAGATTTGTTCTTAAGTTGTGCGTACGAGTGATTTAGGAGAATTTGTGACATTCACCAATGTTTTCGTATTCTAAGATTTTTTTCAGATATGAACAAAATCTACGAGTGGTCCAGACCTGTCGTATATTTTACCAGCAGTCAGTCTGCTGTTATCCTGATGGATTTTTCTCACTAATAACTTTATATTTCATTACTTTAAAGATATTTCGAGTTGAAAATAAATCACACTCCATAATTATGTTGACAATAGGTTATTCTGTTTGAACTGGAATTAGATTTTAAATGTAACTAGCTACCGTATTTATTCGAGTATAATACGTAAAATTTAATCCATAAAATCATCCATAAAGTTTGGGGGGTAGTATTATACTCGGATAAATATTTTTACTTGTGTATTTACACTGAAATATTGGCAAAATTATTGAGTCCAGAAATAAGACCGTGTTGTAAAAATCAGTTGAAGCTAGCTTACCTCTGACACTCCTCCGTGCTTCAGAGCGAGATAATAACAGATCCAGGCAGGCGACATGATGTGGAAAAAAAGGGGGGAAAATCAGTCCTGCAGCTCAGTAATGATAACAAACTAATGACATTAGTGTGACCGAGCCGCTCCTGGAACAACAACAAACACATGTTCGTCTGTAATGGCTGCCGTCTACCGGTGTTCTGAAAAAGTTTGTATCCCTGAAAAACGTTTCCCCACCAGAGGAGGCACTCGCGAGTAGGAAGTAATCTGCTTTTCCCCCACAAGATGGTCCAAATCTCATGTGAAGTTTCTGACTTTTGTGTTGGCGCCTCCTGGTGGACTACGTGTAAAATGCCAGAATTCATATGATGCTGCTACAGCTGATATATATTTGTTGTCAAAATACCTTTTAGTACATATGTTGTTAAAAGAAAATGAACAGTCCAATCATCATTTTACTGATATGTATAAAGACTGCAATCTTGAAGTCTGTATGAAATTGGAGGTAGTTTGAAGATTAAATTTTTTATGCTTTTTAAGCTAAAAAAGGGGGGTCGTATTATAAATGAAATCGTATTATACACAAATAAATACGGTACATAAACTGATTAGATTAAAATAAATTGGCTATTAATGCTGTTGTATAACACTACAATATTAATATGAATATCTCAAACTAAAAACCAACTTCAATTATGCATTAATTGAAGTTTGGAGACATTTTAAAATGCGTCTTTTCAGAACCGCATCTGACTCTTGCGACGGCTGGAAGTAGGCAGCGGTGCGCGACCGCTCCTCCTCTGAATAAATGAAAACTATGTAACACAGTTGTTTACACTTAAATTAAAAATATTTGACCAAAGAAAAACCAGAGCAGGACTAGACAGAAATGAATATGATTGAGATTTTTATGTCTGTGACTGTATACGACCCACAGGAGACACGGCATTAACAGCAGTAGTTATTTCATTCCATTCTTTGGCTTTAGCCGGTCCTTAGTTCCACGACTGATGCTGCTAAAAGGGACAGATTTTCTTTTCTGGATCTCGGAGAACAGGACTTTAATCTCTGAACTTGTAAAGTTCTTCTTTTTAAGCTTTGCTGTCATTTTCATGAATGAAGAGTTCCCGGTATCTCGGGCAGGAAACATATCCTTATATGGTGTTTTTGGGSTGGTAATTATGCTAATCTCCTCTCCTCGTGCACGAGCAGCTGGATACGAACAGGTGGAATTTACGCAGCTCATTTACACACTTTTCCTGAAGATAGAAGAGTTTGTTGAATCTGACGTGACATGTTCGTACGAACCCTTTGTATGAACAAAAGTAAGAGAAATTTAGGATAAGAATACGAACATGTTCTTGCATGAGGCCCAATGTGTCTTAAATCTCAAGAAAATACTTGAGCTGGCAAATTAAAAAACCTAAAAGTTATAATTAAACACATTTCTCTCATATGTTGCTCATCCCTGCAACCTGTAGGCTTCTGAAAGTTTGAATTTGACAGTTTCGCACCTATAAGTAAAACACGCTCGTGTTAAATAATGGTGTATAGTTATGTTTACAGCTTCACAGTTCTTCTTTAAAACCAACAGGAGCTGTATGAGCTCTGTGATGTCAAAATACTGACAAGTTGTGATATTAAACACGAGCAGTGTTGGCATGAAGCCCATTTGGGCGAAGTTGAAATACTATCCTGCTGCCCTGGTTTCAGGTCTGAGAGTGCACATGTGTGAGACGTGGGGTTAGTGGGTGAGTTGCTTAACATGTAACCCATGTGTAACCCATATTTATGCCACATCATTTCTGATCACTTCTCAGTTTTTAGGTTTTAATTGGAGTTTGTGTGATGTTGATGGCATGTGACGTTAACGAAATCTCTGGTAAAATGTGATTCAGATCCTCTGTGTTGGTACTTAATAGTTTCCTCAGGCCTTTTCCTCCTCCCAGTCAAATTTGTTTAATTTATTTCACTTGGGTAACAGTTTCTTTTTGCCAAGGTTGTTTCAGAAGAAACTTATGTTGAAACAATGTGTCTGAAATTGTTGCTCATCCTTTAAGTTTGAAAAAAACAACTGTCATTTGTTATTTTGTTCCAGGCAAGTGTGACTTGTTGCAATAATAATCTGTTCCATAATGTTTAGTTACTTGGCCACACAAATGAAAATGTCTTGTCTTTTCTCTCCACCCGTTCTTCAGGGTTTCTTTCGGCGAACCATCCGCCTGAAGCTGGAGTACGATCGCTGTGAGCGCCGCTGCAAAATTCAAAAAAAGAACCGCAATAAGTGCCAATACTGCCGCTTCCAGAAGTGCCTGGCAGTGGGCATGTCCCACAACGGTGAGTCCTGCAGACCGCGTGGCTTTTAACACACAAATCTCAAACCAGTGGTGTGTGTTTGTGATCCTGCTGTTATTTTAATAGCAAAAGTAAATCACTTTATACACTGAGAACTTACCTGCTGTAGCTAGCTCTTTGAATGGTTCCATTTGGAGGAATAAAGTTTAGTTGTGAACAGACTGCTGACCTGACAGCACGTCTGAGGAGGACCAAGGTCGAAGTGGAGAACTGTTGTGTAAAAACAACTCCAGTCCCAAAACTTTCACTTCAGTTTCATGTGCACTTTGTGTCAAAAGCAGCAGAAGCTAGAGTTGGATAATGTCAACTATTGCATCTGGATGCGGAGCATCAACCAATCAGAGAGACTTCGAGTGGTGCGTTTTCCCCCTGGACTGAAGGACCAAGACCCTGGGAAGTCTCCTGAATGATGCCCACTAACCTGAGACAGATGAACAGGTGCTCTTTAGCTGAAACTCAGCACCTGTAGTTGGTGTCCTGGCAGGAGATGTGGGCAACGATGAGGGTCAAACTGGGCTCTGAATGAAAATAGCGCTGAAAGTGACCCTCGTCAGCGCAAAGCTCCTGGTGTAGGTGGTTAAACGAAAATGCGCAAATTAGAATTTCGAAAATAAGTTTGCTCAATGGAAACACGTCAGTTTCGAAAAACTTGCTTTTTTCGATAAAATGTTTTTGCGCTAGGATGAGGTGGTTTTTCGGCCGTATCAAATTTGGTGTTTTTCGCAAAACTGCAATGGAAACACTTTTTTCCGCATCACGGGAGTCACGTGATCAACAACCGGCTGTTTCTACTGGTGAAAATGATGACGACGAAGAAGATAACAGGAAGTAGTAGTAGTAGTAGTAATATCACAGAAGTAGTATAAAGTAGTAAACTCACCGACTACAATTTCCCAAAACACAGCATACGTAGCCGCTCCCAAGTAGGGCCTTGTCTCTGGAAAGCCTCGATAAAAGACGCCGAYRTCTCCTCTGRTGATGAGCGCTAGTGTCGTGGTAGCAACATGCTATGTGTTTACATCCATCGCTGCCATGTTTGTAATGACTTATCATGAGAACAAACGTATTCACGTGACTTTAATAACATTTCTTACTTAATAAAAACACTGCAGTTGCGAAACTGTGTTTTTTTTTACATTAACTGAATATCGACAAAGTTTTGCGCACATTTGCGATGGAAACACAGCTACAGATGTTCTCTTGCTTTCAGTAAAAAAAGCCAAGACACTCAGTTTTATCAAACCATTGATTGAACAACCAGCAGAGTGAAACAACCAAAAGTCAAGAGGCTCCTACTGATGTGCGCCTTTCCACATTTTGCTCAGACGCACGTCTAGAGTGACTTTGTTGCTCGATTTTAAGCGTCTGACTTCAAAGTGCACAAGTATCTAACTCAGGGGTGGGCAATCCTGGTCCTGGAGGGCTGCAGCCCTACAGGTTTTACTTTTTCTTTGCTCCAACACACCTGATTTGAATGGTTGGATGATTATCAGGCTTTGGCAGTATGGAGGACTGAAACTGGCATAATTAAAAATAAAAGCAGAAATATATAAATGGACCACTAAATAAACAAATACACTTAAAAAAACACCAATTAAATTTAAAAAGGAGAACTTTACCTCATGTTTTATAATTTAATTGACCTTCATATTTTTTTCGAGCTTCATTCCAATAAATTATATATTTTAGCACATAATTTACATTTTACTGTTTTTGAAAAATATTATATTTGAAATATAGTTATTTTTTTATTAGATTGGTGCATTTTAAATGTATTTATTTGTTGGTCAGTTTTGGTCCTCCATACTGCCGAACGTGGAGGAGGTAATTCGGTGACTGAATCAGGTTTGTTGGAGCAGGTAATAAAAGTAAAATGTGGGGCTGTGGCCCTCGAGGACCAGGATTGCCCACCCCTGATCTAACTTGATGCAAGAAATCTGGTCAGCCAATGTTGTGGTCAGGTGTGGTGATGGTTATATGCGTACCCTCCAATAAAATTGCGCAGGCACCCCTGAGTGTCATAAATATAAAATTCCACAGAATAGTTAAAAAGGTCTGTACTTCTTCAAATGTGAATTTCCATTTCCAGTAAAATTAGGTCAATCGCTGATGTCTTTGAGCTCTTTTAGTTTGGCGCTTTGGGCTCAGTAATTATCAGTGACAGCTTAATATTTCCACTGACTTTGTTGGTTTTTTTTAGCGTAGTCCATCATTACTCTGAAAGAGGGATTGAAGATGTCAGTGCAATCAGTGGGTTTCCATATAAGGTTTGCAGATTTTGCAGTTGTTTAATACCAGTGTTGGACTGGGAATCTTTTTTTAGTCTCCTTGATTTATTTATTTGAGAGTTTTCTTTATGCTGAATCCAGACTATGACCATGACTTAAAGCTGTGTATACAGTATGTGTAGAGATTTAACCATAGAGAGGAAGGCTAGATATCTGAAATGAATACAGCCTGATTCTGTGATCTCTGAGATACCACAAGATATATACAGCTATTTTATTTATTTACTTTTGGTGTAGTGGGTGGAAGTTGAATGGATCAGTCTTTTAATTTTTAGATTTTAATGACAAATTGAAAATGATGTTACAGTTTTTACTATCAAGGTTAAGTTTCTTTGTTTTAACAAACCACTGAGTCATTTTTTTTTTGTTTGCCACTTCAGTAGAAAGCAGAACTGAATATCTGAATATTAGTTTCTTAGCTTCTTCTTCATCAGTGGCTTTTTTAAAAAAAGAAAAAGTAAGAGAATAGTGAAATGTATAAGAAAAGAGTGAAAGAGAGATTAGAAGATATGTGTAATATATATAAAGAAACCACAAGACAACACAACCGACATCTTGGCTGCACACCTGCAGATCAGAGATAACAAAAACACAGCAACAATAATGCATATCTATATAATTATGATGATTATAGCCTTGCTGAAGGGTATACATATATACAGTGGTTTGCAAAAGTATTCATACCCCTTGAACTTTTCCATATTTTGTCACATTACAACCACAAACATAAATATATTTCAC